CGAACACCTGGAAACACATACACACGTAACTGGCAAAACTATAAATTACACTTGCGCGCACGTGTGCACGCGCATGCTTTCAATATACTCCGCATCCGGAGGCAAAGTATCCTATCGAGGCGTTATCGTTGAGAAAGCGAACGGTCTCGCGGGGGAGTGATTACGATAATCCTCTGACGGAAGGTTTGCGAGGAAAGGAAAAGAAATAAAAAAAAAGCGTATCTCTCCCGCGGCGGAACGAGTCCCGGGTAATAAAACACTCGCGAGATTCACAAGAAGATGAATTAATGGTCCACCCTGTAGGCACAAGCCACTGGCGATACGCCCACGCCACCGGTCACAATGTGAAACGGGTCGAAATGTCGGAAGATACGCTCGGCCGCTGCTTCGTATATAATTAATTAGCCGGTTCAATAGCCGCAGTGAACACCGAACATCGAACTCGGATATTTATCCCGAACGCGCGCCAACCCGTATGAAATTAATATGATCACATATATGTATAAATACAAATTTCGCATTAGTTGCAAACTTCTCTTGCAGTTTATTTATGTGAATGGAAACGCGTAAATAATGAACTGTTGCTTCGTTCTGTTCTCTTCTCATTCATGATATCCTGATTTTATAATAATGAAATAATAAATATATAAGATAATAATATCTGTAGACATTAAAGAATAATAAGAAATATGTGATAAATTAAAAGGCCAACTTGACGAGCTATAAGGTATTAATTACAATTTTTTATTATTATACGTCATATTATAATGTTACAACTGATTATAATATGACGTAAATAATAAAAAATTGTAATTAATACCTTATAGCTCGTCAAGTTGGCCTCTTAATTTATCACATATTTTAATTGCATACGAGCCGAATTTTATTTTGCATTATATAATAATAAAAAGAAGTTTTCTTCGATATTTAATCTTCCTACATTTATGTGATATGTCAACTGCTTTAATTGAGAGAAATTTAAAAACACTTTTATTTATAAAATTATTACGAATAGATATAGATCTCAATTGAATACTGGACTATCGAATGTCACGTATATAGAGATAATATCGCGCGAGAGAATTGTGCGGCGCATCTTGCAAACCAGCGCGGCTTCGAACGTCACCTACGCGGTCATTCAGCCGGCATCATCGTGCATTGCCTACACGAAGCCGCGCGACACGATGCAGGCGCATCGGTATGCACATATCGGTGTAGAGAGTCTCGGCTTCGCGCAAGCTGGGCAAAGAAAATCGAAAGTAAGCCGACGGCAAAAGGAGGCGGCTCCGTTTCTTGCGAACGCATCCAACGTACTCTGTTACTGTATGCAAAGCAGCCATTTACAGGTAAGTATCCTACGGATGCACCTATATGCGCCGCTTACCTGTCCCCGATGCAACGCACCGCTCCTACGCTCAAGGGTAAACGGTGGCGAAGTTAAGAAAAAGAACGCGGGAGGAAGGTAAAGAGGGTTTGGCTCTATCAGCCACCAGTTTCTCGCGGGATCCCCATTTGCGAGGATCGTTTCAAGGGCGAAGGAATGAATGAGAGATCGTGCGTATCCAAGTAGCTTATATGCAGGCGAGATACCAAAGTATCGCGACTATGAATGAAGATTCCCGTTGGAGGACTCGCAGAAGCGCTTATGCAAGAGATAGATAATGTTCAGTAAACGTTTCCGAGAGAAGAGGATGTCATTAAAGAGTAAAAACTATGAAAAACGATTATACGGAGGATAATAGCCGGAGAGAAAGAGACGACGTCTCGTCGTTCCGTGCGTATATGTTTATACCGATTATTAAGCTTTATTACGCAATTGTAAAAATCGCCAGCGCATCCCGGTTGATTCATTCGGAATGAGCCGCGTGCTGCTAATTCAACAGCATTCGACGTGCATTCATCGACGGGCGTGCATACGTATATAGTATACCTGAAACGCGCGCACGTGCGTTGCGTCGTGTGCGTGCGCGATTGGAACGAAGGTAGCGCGCACGAGGAGTCCAGATTGTGAGATTTCATTCTCTGAACCTGCAATTTGCGAAATTGACGGGGCAATTTGTTTACCGGTAATTGCGATACAATCGAGCGGGAACTCGTTATAAACGGCTAGAATCGGCGGCGTTACACCCGGCAGGACCCGATATATCGGGACGATTTTCTTCTCAAATCTGCCACGCGCGTATAAGTATCGCGTGATCGAATTTGCTCGTAAAAAGTTACGAGGAGCGAAAGTAGAATTATTTGACTTTGTTGAAAGTAACTTACTCGATTATTATAAAATCATACTGTTTTTCAGAACAATTAATTGGGATTAATCAAGAAATTTAATGCATAACATTTTGAAGTTTGTGATTAAATAAAAAAAATTGTATCAAAATCATATATCGCACGTGAGATATTTTTATCTCACTTATCAAATCATAAAACAAATAAGCAGTACTATAAAAAAATATAATTATTCTGTTTATAAAAAATTCAATCTAATTTATATCCCCCTATTAACCATAAATTCTTTACTTTCTCTATATTAAATATTCTGAATTGTATATGCATCTTTTTATCTCTCCTTCTCTCTTTTCTTAACGATTTAAAATCAATTGATTAATTAATTATTAATTACATCAGTTAAACATCTTGTTTATTTTTTTATGCTCTTGAAATTCAAAATATGACAGATTTCATATCTCATATTTTATATATCGCAAGAAATATTCAAATTCATGATCGCAAATAGCGCGTGTATAAGCTACATATCTTGAGCAGATCAAGCTTTATTTTTTCGAATTAGCATTAGTAATGTAGTTAGCCGAGCTATACCGGTTTTCAAACTTTGCAATGATCAAACGTCACCGAGCTTCGTCGTGTTTCATCGAAGAAGAGTTCCCGCTTCGTTTATACAAGCAGCACGAGGAGCGCAGCAAAAGAATGCCGACCGGGGAACGAGGGATCGTTCCGTTGGCGAGGTCATCGTCAAAGTCATCGATCAACCTCAGACCGAGGTCATCCCGCGACCCGGCAGCAGCTGTTCGGACGGCGCAGTCAGTCATCGATCTACGCATCCCGCCGTAGATCACCACTTTGATATATCTACCCCCACCTTAGTCTTACCTTACTACAGACACACGCACATATACAGATGCTCGCATGTGTAGAAATACGCACATGAGACTAGATATATGTGTATATATACAAGATGCCTGCAAATTAAGGCATCATCTCCACGTATGTTCTCATTATTTTTACATAATATTCTTGCATATTACAATACATTGAAGATCTAATGAATTATCTATAAATTGAACGTTCGCGCAAATATAAAGAAAAACAAATCTAAACATCTTATGATGGAACAGATAATATTCATATTTTATGTAATTTTATTTCAAAGCAAATTATTTTACATGTTCTTTAGATATATTTTGGATTTTAATTTCTTCCAATAAAAAAACATTAAGGATAGACATAAATTTTTGTACATTTCTTGTACAGACAAGTAGAGGCGAACGAAAAAGTGGACACGTCGAAATTCATGCTACCATTATTTATGCGCTCGTAATCTGTCATAACCGTGGGCCTCTCTTATGCAACCTGACGATATCGTTACGGTCTAACGGAAACGCCTACCAGCTCTCTCTTTTTCGAGCGACGACAGTTATCAGCCTCTGAATCGCCTCGAGAAAAATAACCCGGTACTCTCTTTTTCGCTGTCCTCGTACTCATTTATTTTGTGTATGTATATGTGTGTGTGTGTGTGTGTGTGATTCCGATAATATCTTTCCCATTTGTGAAATTGTTTAATTATTACAATAATCAATTAAGCCAAACTTAAAAAAATGCAAAGTTTGCATAATTAAGTCTTAAATAATATTTATAGTCAATGTATAATGTATAAATATTTTTTTACAAATATGTACAATATTCAAATTTTTTTATAGATAATACATACATACACAAATTGATAATTTACCGAAGCAGTTCCTCAATCCGCAAGAGCGAGGTCTTTGCTCTCGTAAAGTCAGATCAACATTCCACGCCACCAACGTATTCATAAAAATTCAGCGGGTTTTTATAATCCATGAACCGAATTGCACAAGAGGCTAATAAACGCATCTCGTGCACTGTATTGTGCCGTATATCTTTACAACACAGCAGAGTTATAAACACATAAAAAAAGAAGCACGCGAGAGATGCGAGATTTCATCGCTCACCTAAAATCATCAGTCGTTTTACCAAACCGTAAAGATCCTGTTGAATGTCTTTTTAAAGATAACATTAAATACTCTATAATAACGATGAAAGAGTAAAAAGAAAAGTTGTTAGAACCAGTTGATTTTAAATTATTTTTCGAGAAGCAAACAATAAATCATTATTATGATTTAAAATTATTGTTAATTTAATTCGTATGTCATGAGATTATCAGATTTTTTGTGTTTATAAAAATTATATATAAACTAGATTAATATATCATCATTAACATTGTTCATATCGATGTTTTTGCTGACAAATTGTTCGATATTAAGGCTCGTTGATCCAACTTTTTAATTATAAATTCGTTATTTGTCATTACGTATAAAATAAATTTTGAAATTAAAAATCGTTTTCGAAAAGAATGTACATACGATATATCAATCAGCTTATTTGATAGCTAATAGAAATAATGAAAAAAAACATGAAACTTATTTAATGCATATGTATAAAGTGTTCATTATTTATCCTGCATACACATTATCCTAATTACGTCCGTTCTTTTTGAAAAATTTATCTCATGCTTTTTTTTCAAATATAATATATATATATATATATATAATAAATTATAATATATATAATATATAATATATTCTAAATTATAAAATATATATAATAGAGTCATATATATATATATAATATTATTATACAATATATTTTTTAAATTTAATACATATATATATAATATATTCAAATGTAATATATATTAATTTTCAAATATATTATATATTATAATTCTAAAAGTTTTTAATCTTTATCCTCTACACATAAGTTTATATATCTATTTTTTTCATCGTTTTTAGTCTTTCTTCTCTATGCAGCCAATATTTTCCAATTATTTTGCAGGTCTTGCTTCGACTTCTCAGAAAGAATTTAAATATTTTGCCAAATTTTGTGGAGAGATATTTTTGTCCTCTATATCGTGCATCATTTTTAAAATTTCCGGAATATTTCTGTTTTGCGTATCTTCAATGCTATTAATATTTTCCAATTGTTCTTGATATTTTTCTCCTTCGGCTTTTCCGTAAGAATTGAAATACGTTGTCAAATTTTGTGGAGAGATGTTTTTTTCCTCCAGATCGTACATCATTTTTAAAATCTCCGGAATATTTCTGCTTTGCGTATTTTCAATGCTCTTAGTATTTTCCAATTGTTCTTCATGTTCTTCTCCTTCGGTTTTTCTGTAAAAAAAAAAATCAGATATTTTGTTATAAATCTATAGATATCTATAGATTATCTAGAGAAACTCATTTCTTTATTATAACGTACATCTCTAAAATTTCCATCGGAATATTTTCTCTTTGTGTTTCTTCTGCAATACTTTTAGTGTCTTCTTGTTGTTCCTCTTGTTGACGTCTTTCTACTTCAGTTTTTACGTAAAAGATAGAAGCTTCTGATTTTTCGTCTGGACCTTGCAATACATTATTTACAGTTAAGTTATTCATAGGCAAATTCTCTGCTGAATTATTTTCTTCTTTAATGTTTTCTTCAATGCTTTCAGTATTTTCTATGTGTTCAATATTTTCAGCATTTACAATATTTTTCTGTTGCTTTTGACGTTTTTCTGTTTTAACTTCTTCTATAAAACTAAGTGTTTCTAATATGTTCTTTGTATCAGCGATATCTTCCTTTGTTATATTATTTTCTTTTATTTGAAAATCTGATTTGAAAAATTTTCTCCATAAATCTTTTATACATGCAGACGTGAGGTCGGTCCACGGTTTGCAAGTTACTTTAATTAAATTTTCTATGTTATAAGATTTGTAAAAATCTTTAAATGCGTGTCGAAAATTATTATTAAGTTTGTTAGTAAATCTCTCATCTAGTGGTTGGAGAATTTGGAATGTATTTTTTGGAAAAAACAGAATCTTGAAACTGTCATCTTTCGTGTTTTCTTCTAAGGAAAACTCGCATTTTTTAATGAGTAAAAATGTTTTGCCACTTACATTTGTTTTCTGTCGATGTTCTCTTACAGATTTTATAAAGTGATTATTGTACCAATTCGTGAAAATGTTGTTTAATGTATCTCTTTGTGACATAATCAGAAATGACGTGTTTTTTAAATATTTTAGAGCTATTTCGTGTTTATAGTTATAAGCATGAAAGGGTAATAATTTATGACTACCTGTAGCATTTGTACAAAATATAAAAGTTAGACTATCATTTTTCAGTTTTTCTATTACAGCAGCTTTTTCCTTGTCTTTGTCTGAAAGTTTTGACTTAGACCGAATACGATGGTTCCGAAAATGATGTTTCAATTTAAAGTTCTTTTCGATCATAGTATAAATATTATCTTCACTAATATTTTCCTGTTTCAATCGCTGAATGAATTCTCGAATAAATTTGTCAACATTCTTCTCATTCCTTTCGAAATTTTGCGAACTCTCAGGCACGCTTTGACTGTCTGACTGTATCAGATTCTTATAACATTTTTTAAATTCATGCAACATGTTTTCTTTTTCACGTTCTGTTGATGATCCAACAAACTTTCTTGCAAATTCATATACTTGATCACTAAATAACGCGTCGGAAATTGTGTCTCTCAATACTATTCGTTCTAATAACCAATTATGCATGTAATCACTAATAATTGTATACGCGGTTTTACGATATGTCTTTTTCAATAAATTTATTTGATCAATTGTATGTTTAATTCCTAATAAAGCATATATATTAATTTTACAATCACTCGCAATTTTGGACGTTGGAATACCTTCCATTAATTTTTGTAAAATTTGAATGCGTTGTTCGCGCGAGTTATCTATATTCTTATGCCTTACGTAATTGAACATTATAAAATGTATTTAAAATTTTCACACAAAACTTGTTATTACTTCGCTATTACTGACTTTGCAGAGATTTCGGAAACTTTTGCCACGCAATGTGAAATTATCGACAATATTACTGACAATAATAATAACTAAAAAAAATGTTATAGTTACTCTTGAAAAGAACTTTGCAAACAACCACGGAACAAAATAATATTTAACAGCTGTATGTCAACTTACTAACAGCAATATTTTCTTATTTTCGATATTTATTATTTATAGACAGTGACATTCCTACTTATTACTTATAATAAAATGATAAATAATGATAATAACGGTTTACAAAAATAAAATTTCTACATACAAACTAGGAATTATGTGTCTATCGAAAGAATTCATGTAACTATATCGCAAAAATACAATATAATACTATTATTAAATTTAACTTTTTATTCATATAGACGAAAACAATTAGAACTATATTGTAGCGCTCGAGGCGCTCGTTAATTTTTCTCCGGCGTGATTTGGTTATTCAATTTTCTAAAGCGTAATTACTTGTATCATCTCGCTGCCAATGACGCGATCACACGAGCCGATACGAATGCTCGGACTTGCATAAAACACAACGCGATGCACCGGCTTCATTACTCACGATTATACAGACGCGCGAGCCGGAATATTTCGCTAACGCCGCGTAGCTCATCGATCTAACGAAGGCGCCCGAGAAATCATTGTTTCCGTAATGAATCGCGTCAGAGCCCACGTCGCATCATACGTCATATCCTTCTCTGTATAACATAATCGCCGTCGAATCGGGCGGCAGCATTAATAACACTGAGCACGAGACCGATTGTCTGTATGGTTGTCGAGAGCGTCGGAGGCCCGACTAATTTATTATTTCTCATATACGGGCCATATAACTGCCAGATACTCGTATTTATATACATGTACGAGCACCCACGAAGAGTACAGTGCCTCATCATTAATGCCAATTTCTTTTATAATCCGCATTCTTTCTTCTCCTCGTTACATCTCTTCGAACCGAACCCAATTAATGACGTAAAAAATACGATATCATAAATTATTATAAATTACCTGATTTATAATGGTACAACGCGACATATCATAAAATTACCCATAAATCAGGAAACCATTTAATTAATTTTACCGACAGTTGTCGAATTATTCCGTGAACTATGCCATAAAATACCAAAAGCTACCATCGCTGCTCGATTAACGCGTCGCTTGGAAAGAATTAATTGGAGCGTGATAAACGTTCCGTCTATTTTTTTAAGAACTTGCATTTTGCTTTACAACGCACGCAGCACAGATATCCCCGAGTTTAACGCGAACTTTCCCCACACATTCTATGATATAATCCGGTCGGTGCTCTCTGTGCTTTACCGTGTTTTTCACGCTCACCACTTTCGTGCAACCTGTCGACCAACTTTCGCTCTGACATTGACAGATGGGATTAAGTATCGTCCGTAACTAGCGGGTCATTAATGCAAAGAGGCAAATCGCTCCTATTCCGCGCTTTGGCGGCGCGCGAACGCGAATCGCTGATCTACAAGATGCGGCAACCAACGACGCACCGCTGCGGCGTCAGAAGCCATTAATGAGCGGCATTGTATGCACGCACGCATGTATCAGGCCGCTGTCCTCATATTTCAGCGATTCGCGCGTATTAAAAGCGCGTGCATTATATATATATAGGCGCGCCGTGTGGGTGCGACGCGATATTAATAGGACGCGTTCGGCATAGGCAGTCGCGACGTCGAAGGAGAAGCGATTTAAGCATTCCGCCGTAACTACCGACATGCGAGATAAATCCGGAATAAATGGATAAATGCAAAAAGAAGAAAAGGAAAGAGGGAAAGGAAAAAAAGTTCGGCATAGCGCGCGTGCTGGAAATTACCGCGCGCGGCGGCCACCGTCGATGACTAATGAGAAATTCACGCGGCCGCTAATGCACTGTATCGTTATCACTTATTACCGGCAGCAGGATTGCGGGGGTCTCTATCCCGGAGAGCATATACCCGGGTGCGATTTACCGGCCAGACGGCGCAATCCGTGACTCGGGAAATCATAAAACGGCCAGGCGACGAGCATTTGTCGCTGGAACCTAGCCCTTTTAACGCTATTTATTGTTATATGTATAATAAATTTTCAAATGCTATACATACCGTAGAAATTCATTAAAATGCCAAGATGCAAATAAAATTAATTAGTAAAATTTATATTGCGTAAATGTATGTGACTATATGTAAAAAAAATTTGACATTTAAATATCTTAATATATTATACATAATATTTCAATAAATTCTCAATTCTAAATTATATAAACAATATTATTAATTTTATTTTTAAGTTAACGCTGTGAAGAGTGTACTTATATAAGTTGATTGTTTTAATCTAAGAAAAATAAATCTTATAAACAAGTAACGATAAAATAGAGTATAATTGAATGAAAGAAAAGTGATAAAGTATTATCTTCTGATATGCAGTATTTCTTTTGAAATGCATTTGCTGTCTATTATTGTCTATTGTATTACAAGACTCGATTATACACGATAGTACAGAATAATTGAATAAACATCGCGCGCGTTTCATATTCATTTGACAGAGGATGATTAAATTCATTTCAATTAAAATCACTTGATGAAATAACTGCACAGACTTACATTACTTATTTTCTGTGTGCATCCATCTTATCTTTCCACATCTGATAGCATTAATTGCACATGATATCTACTTCATATTTCAAGAACCTGTATTCTATATCAGGAGGAAAGTCGATAAATTAATTTCTCTCAAGTATTATCTCAAGATATACAATTATTAAAAATCGATGTCTATGATCGATGATGACAATTTTATAAAATAAGTATATGACATTTGAAGCATCTATAGATATACGACTGATACATCTTTAGATATATTACTATTATAATTATTACAAAATACAAAATAGCGATGAGAGAAATAATAAATTATTACAAAGTACAGAACCAAACGATCAACACCTTTGCTGAGGAATCTTCAAAAAAGATATTAGAAGAAGCGTGACTAGAAGGATAGGCGAGTATGGAAGAAAAGACTCCGCACAGTGGCTACCGATCACGAATTAATTAAAGCCGTGTAGCAATAAGCCGTGGTACACAATTCCGCGTGCTCTTACACGAAAGATAGAGATTTGAATTGTTCGCGATCACGCGCGCTCCTTTATGTATAACTAGCTGCGATATATCGCGATTATCCGCGACAACGCGGCACTTTCCCTGTCTCTCTCTTTCTCTCTCCTTGTCCTGCGGAAATATATGTATTGAAAGGAACCGAATTCTTTGATAGTTACTGTTTAAAGACACGGTTCGCCGAGTTACAGTTATTCGGACTTGCGGACAATTGTCGTAGCGTTTAAAGAATTCAATCAATTGTCCTCGCGAAACAAGACTCATTTACATATCATGTTTAAAACAATGTCAAAAAAATCATCGAATTTCTTATTAAAATGTGTCTAAGAAAAATATTATAGAGCGTTAAGACTAAAATTAATTTCAATGAAACATTCATAATTATTCTATTTAATATTGTATTTATCTATTGTTTGATTCAGAGTCAATAAATTTCTCAATTTTTATTTAGTAGCATACAAAATATTTCCTATACAACGTCTAAATATGCGCTCGTATGCACGTTTCGATGTGGCGCTATAATCCTCGACGGTATCGAGAGAGTCAATCTCGATCCGATGTGGGACAGAAAACCACTCGTATCATTTCTAACGAGAGACGTGCCACTCCCGCCTTAAGAGGGTCAAATTCTTGACTTGTATCTCGAAGCGTGGCGGCGGCAGCAACAACGGGGAAGGTGGGAGAAGACACTTTATAATCGAAGTAAGCCGACGCGTGCTCTTTGACACGGAACAGACAGGAGAGCGAGAAAAGAGACTGTACATACACGGTGTCATTTTCAGAGCATAGACCAGCTGACTCGCGCGGCTCCAGCCGACTTTCCAGTGATATCCGACCTTGAATAAAAGCGGTCGATTCGACCGCTTTACACGCTTTGCTGGCCCACGTTGAGCGCACTCGCGCATACGAGTCAATTGCATGATACGTAGAAAAGCGGATACGCTTATCTGGAATACATCGCGCGTGGCAGGTCAGCATTTCAACGAAAGCCGACTCTGTTGATAGCGCGAGATTTTTCGTCCCGTCAGATTAAATCGCGATTTACAGTTTGTTGAGAGAACCACGATAATCGCAAAAAAATGCAGTTATATATAAGACAGTAAAATATTATAAGAGCGTTTCTTAATATAGAACCTTTTTTTCATTTCATCAAATTTGTGGAAAAAATAGAGAAATGCTGAAGGCGTATAAATATATAATTATCAAAGAATCGTAAGAGAGCCATGAAACCACTTCGACGATCGTCTATAATATAGCGATCCTTTAAATCGCGCAAAATGCAACGCGGGCATTCGGTTCTCCGCGAGCGCATGCTTCTTTACAGCGTGACACGAATGAAATTCAGCGTCATAAAGCTGGCTAGCGAGCGAGACTCATAAATATTTGGACGATAGAGGTCTGATAGCGCGACCTCGAGGTTGCGTGCAGACAGTGCACGCTCGCTCGCTCGCTCGCTCACGCGTGCAATTGCAACTGCAACTGCAACCGACCAACGGTTGCACACATCCTTGCAGAGCTCTGATCTCGAATTAATCCGCAGAGAGATTAGCTGCCGGCACACCGGTAACTTGACCGAAGCGCACGACCGCGAAAGTCGAGGAGGAAAAGAGAAGACGGACAAAAGAGGAAGCAGGAGAATGCGGAGAAAGAGAAACGGAAAAAGAAAAAGATCAAGACGAAAGAAGAAAGAGCGAAAAGGGATGGTCGGTCCATCCATCGGCGAGGAATTCTTACACGCATCCTGTCTGCGGTTGACGAAAACTTATCCAGACACGAAGCTTCCCAGAAGCTCGTTTTCACCACGTAACAAGAGCAACTCTCTCAGCTTTTTGCTGCTGAAGTTCCTATATACGCGCGTTTCGAGGACTCTGACGACGCGAGACCGCATTATTATAT